GACGGGAGCCCTGCTGAGAGGGGATGCCCTGCTGAGAGGGGATGCCCTGCTGAGAGGGGATGCCCTGCTGAGGACGGGAGCCCTGCTGAGAGGGGATGCTCTGCTGAGAGGGGATGCCCTGCTGAGAGGGGATGCTCTGCTGAGAGGGGATGCCCTGCTGAGGACGGGAGCCCTGCTGAGGACGGGAGCCCTGCTGAGGACGGGAGCCCTGCTGAGAGGGGATGCCCTGCTGAGAGGGGATGCCCTGCTGAGAAAGGGAGCCCTGCTGAGAAAGGGAGCCCTGCTGAGGACGGGAGCCCTGTTGAGAGGGGATGCCCTGCTGAGAAAGGGAGCCCTGCTGAGAAAGGGAGCCCTGCTGAGAAAGGGAGCCCTGCTGAGAAGGGATGCCCTGCTGAGAAAGGGAGCCCTGCTGAGGACGGGAGCCCTGCTGAGGACGGGAGCCCTGCTGAGAAAGGGAGCCCTGCTGAGAAAGGGAGCCCTGCTGAGAAGGGATGCTCTGCTGAGAAGGGATGCCCTGCTGAGAAAGGGAGCCCTGCTGAGGACGGGAGCCCTGCTGAGAGGGGATGCCCTGCTGAGAGGGGATGCCCTGCTGAGGACGGGAGCCCTGCTGAGAAAGGGAGCCCTGCTGAGGACGGGAGCCCTGCTGAGAGGGGATGCCCTGCTGAGAGGGGATGCCCTGCTGAGAGGGGATGCCCTGCTGAGGACGGGAGCCCTGCTGAGGACGGGAGCCCTGCTGAGGACGGGAGCCCTGCTGAGAAAGGGAGCCCTGCTGAGAAGGGATGCTCTGCTGAGAAGGGATGCCCTGCTGAGAAGGGATGCTCTGCTGAGAAGGGATGCCCTGCTGAGAAAGGGAGCCCTGCTGAGAAGGGATGCCCTGCTGAGAAGGGATGCTCTGCTGAGAAGGGATGCCCTGCTGAGGACCGGAGCCCTGCTGAGGACGGGAGACCTGCTCAGGGGTAATGCCCTGCTGAGAAATGGACTCCTGAGAAATGGCTCCCTGCTGAGAAATGGACTCCTGAGAACTGACCTCCTGCTGAGAAATGGACTCCTGAGAAATGGTCTCCTGCTGAGGAATGGACATTTTCCTAGGGGTCACCAAATATCGCGGAGGTTGGGTGTCTTTGCCTAATGCTGATTTTAATATAATTTAAAAAATTGGTCCAATGCTAAGAAGAAGGGACAGGCACGCCATGATGAGACAGAATGAATGAAAAGATTTACTGTACTAAAATGATTCCTCTTACTCTTTTGTAGTGTATGTCTTCACCCTAATTTTCGTCTCATTCAGGTGAAAGAGAGCGCTAGTCTCCCTAATTTCTAATATGCATTTCCAAATTCCCTCAGAGTTTTCCGAAACTTGCACGTCCAGGTTTCTTTTTCCTTCATGCTGGGGCATTAACTCATTCCTAAACGTCCATTGTGGCTAAATGAAGTATTCCGGGAAAAGGCTTCGCAGTGTCCGTGAGTGGCACTCTAGAGTGATCATTTCACCGCGATAAAGTTCGACAACATTCGGAATAGGATTTGTCACAACAAGGTTCACAAGATTCAGACAAAAGGTCGTGGCACCTACATCAAAGTTGATGTTATATACATTTCTGTCTTCGGATTATATGTTAGGGATAGAAAACATATTGATCAATTCAGTGCGCGGCTGTTCTGGTTTCATTCCATGACCTCTACTTTAATTATATCTATTAGGTGTACCTGTGTCACTGCTCACTTGCAACATGCCATCGTAGCTGAAAGACTGTGTAGATACAATTTAGGATAATAATGTGTCAGTGTTGATTCTTAAAACGCCTTAGGGATACCTGTCATTTAGGTGGCTGAACAAGGCACCGTGGTAATCGATGGTGGCCTAAGTATGAAGTGGTGCTCTAATATATGTGGGTTCCACTACAAACCGCGATTTATGGTATCTGTAGAAATGGTCTTCGTCTTACTCACTCATTCTATTTTTCATCAACTAAAAAAAGGTGGAGCGGAGTATTATGTCGCGGCCAAAGGCGCTACGAGCTAGACATTCGTAGGTTCCCTCGGAAGTTTTTGTCATTTGGAATTTATATGATCCGATTACTTTGTGTTCTTTGACCCCATTAATCCTCACGATGGCTGTGTGTTAATGCCTGGTGACGCTGTCTATGTCAGAAACGTCGCAAAGGAACGACACGTCATCATATGCCTCTACTATTCTGGTTTCACTGACGACGATGTTCTTATGATGCAGAGGAATTTATATATCTTCGATATCGCAGTAAACTGACCATAGTCCTGTGTGTAAGGGTTACATGTTCAAGACCTAGAGATACTTCCTTCTCATAATCACGTTCTTTGATCCAGACATTTTCACCTAATTGAACATGACTGTGGGCTGGCTACAGGCCCTATTAAATTCCGATAAGATTTTTATGTGTTACAGGTCCTCTCTATACCCCTCACCAGGTATCAAGATGATAGGGGTCATTTCAGTTAGCATACCTGCATAAACATCGGTCAT